TGTTATGTATTGCAGGAATTTTTATTTTTTTCACTCACGTCGCGTACTCTCTTTTTTTTAATAAATTTTCCACATTAGCGTGAGTTCACTGTGGTTGACACTCGCGTCGCATACTTTTTATGTTCTGCAATTGTGACGAGTCGCATACTTTTGTCTGCGTTTAGCGTGAGTTTACTGAGACACTCGCGTCGCGTACTTTTTATTTTTCCGCAATAGTTATGAGTGCCCCATGTTGGGCGCCAATTAACTTTTTTAAACACGAGTTTTTATTTTTAAAAAATATTTATTTATTATATAAAATATATATATGAATTACATGTTATAAATTTAGTTTTCCGAATAGGTCAGATTTGAGGCTTAACTTCTTGAATGCTCGAACTAGACTGACTCTTCAAGTTTTATTCTTCAATAACTGAAGTTATTATTTAGATTGCGAAATTGGGTTTTATCCAATTAGAGCACAGCTTCTAAAATTCCTGAGAATTTTCTAGAAGCGTCTTTTTCTCCAACCAATAGAATTGAAGCTTCTATTTGGTAAAGCACCTCGTCAGCGTCTTTAGCTTCGGCGTCAATAGCCGGAAGATGATGTTTATATCCATCAATCAAATATCTCAAATGAGTTACATCTTTAAAGAAAACAATTTTGTTTTCCTTTGCAGCATTGCTGTCAGATGAAGTATGGGCATTAAGCCTGAATGTTTATATAAAGATATTTTGATGCGTAATATCTAAGTACGCATTCTGAAGATACAAAAGTATTAAACAGTGGCTCAGTGCCGTTATGTTAATTTAGGGTTTTAACTTGCCTACGATGCGGCCTTTTGTAAAATGTTTTTTAGATATTTTTAGCCCTCATCATTATTTCATAACTTTGGCTTCTGGTTTGGACTTCTTTTAAAAGCGTTGGGTGCTTGTTTTTAATATACTCTTCCACGACTTTGATTACGTTAGTATTTTCTATAAATTCATCCAACGTGGCAGGAAACACTGATCGCCTTTTTGAATCAGAAATAAATAAATTATTTTAGCATTTATTTATTAATTCACTTTAACATACTTTGTTTTGTGGTCATCCGTTTTTTTATTTTCCATTTTTATTAACAAATTTGGATATAAATTTGAAATTGAACTGCAAAATTAGAACCGAACAAACATGGTTTATGAAAGTAAAAAAATTAAAAAGTTTATTTCTGGTTTTACCTATCGACAATAATGACAATAATAAAAGTAATAGAAATAATAGTATTGTGGCGATTTTTATAATGGATAATGGATCAAAAATTAGAACAACGTGCGTGCAAATTAATTTTTTTGAACACGAGTTTTTATTTTTAATAAAATATTTATTTATTATATTAAATATATATATGAATTACATGTTATAAATTTAGTTTTCCGAATAGGTAAGATTTAAGGCTTAACTTCTTGAATGCTCGAACTAGACTGACTCTTGAAGTTTTATTCTTCAATAACTCAAGTTATTATTTAGATTATGAAATTGGGTTTTATCCAATTAGAGCACAGCTTCTAAAATTCCTGAGAATTTTCTAGAAGCGTCTTTTTCTCCAACCAATAGAATTGGAGCTTCTATTTGGTAAAGCACCTCGTCAGCGTCTTTAGCTTCGGCGTCAATAGCCGGAAGATGATGTTTATATCCATCAATCAAATATCTCAATCGAGTTACATTTTTAAAGAAAACAATTTTGTTTTCCTTTGCAGCATTGCTGTCAGATGAAGTATGGGCATTAAGCCTGAATGTTTATATAAAGATATTTTGATGCGTAATATCTAAGTACGCATTCTGAAGATACAAAAGTATTAAACAGTGGCTCAGTGCCGTTATGTTAATTTAGGGTTTTAACTTGCCTACGATGCGGCCTTTTGTAAAATGTTTTTTAGATATTTTTAGCCCTCATCATTATTTCATAACTTTGGCTTCTGGTTTGGACTTCTTTTAAAAGCGTTGGGTGCTTGTTTTTAATATACTCTTCCACGACTTTGATTATATTTGTATTTTCTATAAATTCATCCAACGTGGCAGGAAACACTGATCGCCTTTTTGAATTAGAAATAAATAAATTATTTTAGCATTTGTTTATTAATTCACTTTAACATACTTTGTTTTGTGGTCATCCGTTTTTTTATTTTCCATTTTTATTAACAAATTTGGATATAAATTTGAAATTGAACTGCAAAATTAGAACCGAACAAACATGGTTTATGAAAGTAAAAAAATTAAAAAGTTTATTTCTGGTTTTACCTATCGACAATAATGACAATAATAAAAGTAATAGAAATAATAGTATTGTGGCGATTTTTATAATGGATAATGGATCAAAAATTAGAACAACGTGCGTGCAAATTAATTTTTTTGAACACGAGTTTTTATTTTTAATAAAATATTTATTTATTATATTAAATATATATATGAATTACATGTTATAAATTTAGTTTTCCGAATAGGTCAGATTTAAGGCTTAACTTCTTGAATGCTCGAACTAGACTGACTCTTGAAGTTTTATTCTTCAATAACTCAAGTTATTATTTAGATTATGAAATTGGGTTTTATCCAATTAGAGCACAGCTTCTAAAATTCCTGAGAATTTTCTAGAAGCGTCTTTTTCTCCAACCAATAGAATTGGAGCTTCTATTTGGTAAAGCACCTCGTCAGCGTCTTTAGCTTCGGCGTCAATAGCCGGAAGATGATGTTTATATCCATCAATCAAATATCTCAAATGAGTTACATTTTTAAAGAAAACAATTTTGTTTTCCTTTGCAGCATTGCTGTCAGATGAAGTATGGGCATTAAGCCTGAATGTTTATATAAAGATATTTTGATGCGTAATATCTAAGTACGCATTCTGAAGATACAAAAGTATTAAACAGTGGCTCAGTGCCGTTATGTTAATTTAGGGTTTTAACTTGCCTACGATGCGGCCTTTTGTAAAATGTTTTGTAGATATTTTTAGCCCTCATCATTATTTCATAACTTTGGCTTCTGGTTTGGACTTCCTTTAAAAGCGTTGGGTGCTTGTTTTTAATATACTCTTCCACGACTTTGATTACGTTGGTATTTTCTATAAATTCATCCAACGTGGCAGGAAACACTGATCGCCTTTTTGAATTAGAAATAAATAAATTATTTTAGCATTTGTTTATTAATTCACTTTAACATACTTTGTTTTGTGGTCATCCGTTTTTTTATTTTCCATTTTTATTAACAAATTTGGATATAAATTTGAAATTGAACTGCAAAATTAGAACCGAACAAACATGGTTTATGAAAGTAAAAAAATTAAAAAGTTTATTTCTGGTTTTACCTATCGACAATAATGACAATAATAAAAGTAATAGAAATAATAGTATTGTGGCGATTTTTATAATGGATAATGGATCAAAAATTAGAACAACGTGCGTGCAAATTAATTTTTTTGAACACGAGTTTTTATTTTTAATAAAATATTTATTTATTATATTAAATATATATATGAATTACATGTTATAAATTTAGTTTTCCGAATAGGTAAGATTTAAGGCTTAACTTCTTGAATGCTCGAACTAGACTGACTCTTGAAGTTTTATTCTTCAATAACTCAAGTTATTATTTAGATTATGAAATTGGGTTTTATCCAATTAGAGCACAGCTTCTAAAATTCCTGAGAATTTTCTAGAAGCGTCTTTTTCTCCAACCAATAGAATTGGAGCTTCTATTTGGTAAAGCACCTCGTCAGCGTCTTTAGCTTCGGCGTTAATAGCCGGAAGATGATGTTTATATCCATCAATCAAATATCTCAAATGAGTTACATCTTTAAAGAAAACAATTTTGTTTTCCTTTGCAGTATTGCTGTCAGATGAAGTATGGGCATTAAGCCTGAATGTTTATATAAAGATATTTTGATGCGTAATATCTAAGTACGCATTCTGAAGATACAAAAGTATTAAACAGTGGCTCAGTGCCGTTATGTTAATTTAGGGTTTTAACTTGCCTACGATGCGGCCTTTTGTAAAATGTTTTTTAGATATTTTTAGCCCTCATCATTATTTCATAACTTTGGCTTCTGGTTTGGACTTCTTTTAAAAGCGTTGGGTGCTTGTTTTTAATATACTCTTCCACGACTTTGATTATATTTGTATTTTCTATAAATTCATTCAACGTGGCAGGAAACACTGATCGCCTTTTTGAATTAGAAATAAATAAATTATTTTAGCATTTGTTTATTAATTCACTTTAACATACTTTGTTTTGTGGTCATCCGTTTTTTTATTTTCCATTTTTATTAACAAATTTGGATATAAATTTGAAATTGAACTGCAAAATTAGAACCGAACAAACATGGTTTATGAAAGTAAAAAAATTAAAAAGTTTATTTCTGGTTTTACCTATCGACAATAATGAAAATAATAAAAGTAATAGAAATAATAGTTTTGTGGCGATTTTTATAATGGATAATGGATCAAAAATTAGAACAACGTGCGTGCAAATTAATTTTTTTGAACACGAGTTTTTATTTTTAATAAAATATTTATTTATTATATTAAATATATATATGAATTACATGTTATAAATTTAGTTTTCCGAATAGGTCAGATTTAAGGCTTAACTTCTTGAATGCTCGAACTAGACTGACTCTTGAAGTTTTATTCTTCAATAACTCAAGTTATTATTTAGATTATGAAATTGGGTTTTATCCAATTAGAGCACAGCTTCTAAAATTCCTGAGAATTTTCTAGAAGCGTCTTTTTCTCCAACCAATAGAATTGGAGCTTCTATTTGGTAAAGCACCTCGTCAGCGTCTTTAGCTTCGGCGTCAATAGCCGGAAGATGATGTTTATATCCATCAATCAAATATCTCAAATGAGTTACATTTTTAAAGAAAACAATTTTGTTTTC